TCTCAATGCATCGGTTTCTTGTTCATCCCACAGTATCTAACAAATATTGTATGAATCTTAAAAATTTTCCCCGTTCATTTCATGGTTATTGTATTAAATCTTCTAAAACATCAAAACTCCTAGTGCTTTATTTCAATTCTTCTGTTTCATTTCAATTCTTCATTGATGATAACATTGCAACTGCTGTACGGTGTTGATGTAGCCTTTAGTGTTTTGGAGACGATCAGCTGAGTGAACATTCAGGATTATGCAAGCATTTGGTATGCACACTTCAATTTTCAGGATCTCAGTCAAACGAGAGAGTTGCCATCAAAATACAAACGTTACAGAGATGAAGCCACTGGTCGAATGAGAGCCGCTGGATTTGATGCGGAAAGGCCCAGAAGAATCGGTATTTCACTTACGGAGTCGCATGAATTTTCTGAACATTTTTGTTAATTCAGTTCAGAAAGAATTATTTACACGCTCGAACATTCTGTACTCATATTTTCGACTCTAATTCTTTATGCTTGCGATTGATCGGAGTTTATGAGGAAGAACGATGTCAGTTACACATACGTGGTGATGGTTTTGGATTGTGATGAGAAAGTGCGTTCGGAACTCACTGAGAATGGATATTTGCTTTGATTATTCGCTCAAATGAAGTTAATGTTGAATGTTTCTGAATGGTTAAAGCATGAAAAACTTCAGGTCAGCCAGGTCCTTATGTGCTAGAGGATACGAGGGAATTCGATCAGCACACTCGTCCGTCAGCTGGAGACTGGTTCGCTGATCTGTTTAAAACTAAATTTACGATCAGTGGGCGTGGTGAGGATATTTTCATACCGAGGTATGCATCTTGGAGGGTTTATTCAAAGCTCTGATTAAGCTGTTTTGAAATGGCAAACAAAAGTCTTTCAATAAGCGTTTTCAAATTCATTTAATTAGATGAGTCGTTGATTCAGCACGAATGTCTCTATTGAACTTATCAATTCATCTGGAAACCGAACTCATCAAAGGTTCTCAGATATATTCACAAAGTTAATTCAATCACAGTTGAATGTCAAATCAAGTAGCGCATATTGTTCAAACAGTAGTGCATTAAATAAGTTTGTAGTTCAATCAAGCTTCAACAGGTCCATCCAATATGTGGACTTCACTTTAGCAATTCCAGATACCTTAAATGAATCTGATTATAATAATGGTGAGATTAATTTTGTCTTTTATTTTCTTTTTCAGAACATTTGAAGAAATGGACTTGAATAAACAGTTGCTACAAAATCTTTACCGGAAGGGATTCAAGAGGCCGTTACCAGCTCAACAGGCCGCCTTTCCACTGCTATCAAAAAGTATTTGAAAGCTAACGTGTCTATCCAAATATTCTTTGAAACTTCCTCACAATCAGTTCAAGATTTCTTCTCATTCCAATCTATTTATTTTAGTTAGTGACGCTTGCAAATATCGCTTTAATTTCAGGCTATGACCTTATTGGTCACGCACCGACTGGTCACGGCAAAACGGCCGCATTTTTGATTCCTATCATTGATTCAATTCTAAAACAGAAACAGTCAAACGGTCCGTTTTTTGCTTATTTTTTGTTGATTTATTCGTTCATTAAAGGTAAAAGGCGCAACTCACAGTTATGCCATACAATGGGTCTTTATTATTGATCTTTTGTTTGCGAAAGTTGGATTCACAATCAATTATGCATGTGTATACGTATACAATTTGGTATTTACCAAATCATGGCCTGATGGCTGGGATTCGATAACTCTGTCGATAGCAAAAAACGTTAAGATTTCTTCTGATGAAAATTTCCATGTTGAGTAGAACTTGCAATATCGTGATGGTTTTATCAGTCAAATGTTTGATCTCAATTTATTTCCATACGTTAGAAGACTGTTTTGAAGTCTGAGTGCTAGTGCAGTTGGGCGATTTTATGCTGTGTAAACGCGAAAAAGCCGGTTTTATCTGTTTCGACTGAATGCAAACAGTTGAGAATGTCGAATGAATGATCTTATTACGATATTGTTGATATTAAGCGATGAATCTGAGGAAATCCGATCCACTGTGTGTCATCATCTCGCCAACCAGAGAACTCGCAGAACAAATTTATAAGGACGCAAAAGATTTGTGTTCTGGTGAGTTTCAGTTTGTTTGCTTGATTGGTCCTGTAATACTGTATGGTTAATAGTGGCGTTTCCGAGTGGAAACGTCTTACAGTAGTATTCTATTGTGCTGGCGTGTTTGGCGTTGAATAGTTGAGTGAATGTGATTTGGAATTGAAGAAACTGGATGTGAAATTAACCTGTCGTTCGGTAGCTTGCCGCGTAGTGCGTGTGTAAGGGAGATTCAAAAGGGTTGCGATCTGATCATTTTGACCGTTGGTCGTCTGTGTGATTATGTTGCGAATGATGTGGTAAGTCTTTGCCTAGCGGTGTTTTAATCATTTGCTGAGTTTTTGCATTTTGATGCGCTTTTGAAGCGTAACGATGAATTTGTTAATTTCAACTATTGTTGTTTTTCTTAGAATAATCGTTTCATTTATGTTGTTCTCTTGTTCGACATTTTCATCTGATTTTGTTCGATTTTTTCTGAGCAATTGTAAAACTCTCCTGAGATTCTGGGATTTAAACACTTTTTTTGACGTATCAATCAGTTCGATTTGATTCTAAATCGAATGGTGTTTTCTAATAATCAGTTGATCTGTTGAATTTTTTACTCATCTCGTTGGTAATTTTTATTAATTTTCACTTATTAGTTTTCGATTGATCTACGTTGAAAGAATCAGTTTTTTAAAAGTTGATCTAGAATTGCTTGTGAAAAAAAGTGTGTGAGTTTTTTTTTCAGTTCACACTAAACAGTCTAAAATATCTCGTCTTTGATGAGGCAGATAAATTGTTACAAGAGAACGATGGATTCATTAATGAGATTGAAGACAATGTCATTCCATTATTGCCAAGTGTAAGTGGATATTCGAAAATTGTTTTTGACACATTCATTCAATGGTTTATTTTTATTGTTCTGATGTAAAACGCTGTTCGCGTATCGACTCATATATATCATTTGAGGAATTTAGATTGAAATTTCATTTGATACGCATTTCATTGGAGAACTGAATTGCATTCGAGAAATGAAAATTGTGGAAAGCGTTGTGGGACCTTATTCGGACGGAAAAGTCATCATTTCAGAGGGCTTTTTTGTCTGCGGCAATTTTTCAGCAAAAAAAGAAATGATACTCCCGAAATTTTGTTCCTGTAAAACAGTGTTAGTGTTTGCTTGCGTTTAGATTATTGTGGCGTTTTATTGTTGCATTGTTATTTCAGCGAAGCGATGAAGTTTGTAAAGTCTTCTTCAGTGCTACGGATATTGCGCAGTTAGATGAGCTGGCGAAAGAGTGTTTCAAGTGTACGCCAACTCGTTTGGAAGTTGGTGAGGTGAACGCTGTGAATGCACTTGTAGAGCAGAGAATTTTATGTGTGCGTTGTTTGTTTACATATTTCACGTTTCATCCATTTATTGTGCAGTTGTAACTAATAGTGAAGTCAACTTCCAAATGTATTATTTCAGTTAATAGCATCAATTAGCAGAGTTAGGAGTTTTTTCGTTCCGTTCAATACACCCAATAGAATTCATGAGTATTCGAAAGCATTCACCTTCATTGAATTTATCTCAAACGTTCACCTAGTGACCTTATAATCATCCTCGGCGTAAATTATTATTATTAAAATGTTATTTGGGATTCTATAATGATGATGTGTGGGTTTGATTCACAGTTCATCTCAATATCATCCCAATAAAAACTAATGAGAAATCCAGCTTTGCTGTCTCAGTTTTGGTCATCGGAAAAGATTTCTTATTCTCTTAAAATGTACTCTCGACAAAATTCATGCAGACTGAATTTTTTTGTCAACTCACGTAAAGTTTGTGGAACTGAACCGGTCAATATCTAGTAAACTTACTCCGAATATAACAGAGGAAATTTCTATCGCCTACTTGAATATCAGTTATCCAACATGTGTTTTTTTAGGCTCCTGAATATAGCAAACGCTTTGAGCTACTGAAGATCATGCATGACCAATATCCGAATACTGGTTAGTCGACTTCGTTGCATCATTGTTTTTTGTTGTGGTTTTGAATTACCTGGGCGTATGGAAAGTTTCAGTGCTACTGCTCTAAGATATTAACAGACATGCGGCAACGATTGCTTCAACCGTGCTTATGCATGATTTGTTTAGCCAGTGTTTCGCCTTCGTAGATTGAGTATCGTGGGTTGTCGTGCGAGTTCCATTCAACAACCACAATAAGAACGGAATTTGAAGTATACATTTGTATGATATACATGTGAGGAGATGATTAGATCGTCATTTTTAGTGTGTAAGATGATGGTTGAGATTGTAACGGTAGATTGATTCATTTTCATAGTTTGTTCTGAAAGAACACTGATATAGTCCGCTAACGATAAGGGTGTTGTTTGGTTTTGATTGCATTGTGAATTGTAGATGATGCGCATCGTGATGGGGAGCAGAAAGCGACACCACCGAAAACGATTGTGTTTGTGAACACGAGAAGGAAGTGTAGTGTGATCGCGTGTTTCTTATCATTGTACGGTTTCAAAGCATATCCCGTGCACAGGTTCGTTTATTTTCTCGTGATATTGGATGAATAACTTGCTTGAATCTTTTGGTTTGGTGTTGATTTTTTTAAATGAGGATAGAATGAGAAGGGAACATGTAATCGTAGAGTGGATGGTAATAGTAGGGTGATCTGGGGTTGAATATGATGCGTGTATTGAGAGTGTATTGCTTTTAGTGGTTTGACACAGATTCTGAGACATCAAGGTTTGAAGGCGTTCGAGTCGGATGATTGCCATATCCTGGTGGCAACAGACGCTTTAGCGCGTGGAATGGATTTCAAAGATATATATCATGTAAACTTTATTTTGATGACCGTTTCTTCATGACTTACCCAATTTTATTAATATTTTCTGATACGTTTGGTATTATTGTGAATAATTGAATGCAGTCATTTTCAAGCTTGCATTCTTTTCCTTTCATACATTTCACATTACCTTTTCCTTCTTTCAGTTTCTTGTTCTTGTGTGGCATCAAGTTGGTTGGAGTTATTTGAAGAATAAAAGGATTGCCAAGTTATAGATTTCGGTGTGTTTTAGGTGATCAATTACGATGTACCAAATTTCCGATCTTGGGCATCCTACATTCATCGTGTTGGGAGGACTGGCCGACTCGGTAATCGCGGACTTGCAACCACATTCTACTCACCTGACAATGACAGTAATATGGCACCGTTCCTCTATCAGGTATTTGATTGATACATTGCTCCATATTGCAGATATTATTCGATTGTTGAAAGTTTTTGTGTGCATTTAGTTGTTAATTATTACTCTATTATTTTGTCATTCGTGGGCAATTACGAATTTGATCTGGGTGAATAATCAGTGTGTGTGTTGAATGAGCAGTAGCCAGTAATCGTTATTGTTTATGGAAATAAACAGTGTTATTTCAATAACCATTAATAAGTGTTCATTGACGACGGTTATACGGAAGAGAGATCTTAGAGAAGAGATGCGCACACATGCTAGCCGGGCTCTGTTGAGGTTTTCCATTGAAAAGATTTTGTCAATGGAACGAAACTGCATTTTTCAACCAACTGCATGTCTC